CTGTCACTTTGTGATTAGAAGGATGACATTTTATAATGTGCTCACAAATCCTCTTTCAACTGCTGCTGAAAATCTTTGTCATGAGGGGCCCAAAAGAAGATCACTGTGGGTTCTTCTCCCTGGCCAAAGAGACAGGGATGCCGTTCCTCGAAGTGAAGGAATGCACACAGAGGAGAGGCGGTTTTCTAGAAGGTGTGAGCAGGACACTGTAGACCCACTAAACTCCCAGCAGTCCTCATGTGGAAAGCTGCAAGGCTCTTCACAGCAAATATTTCAGAGTGTTCCAGGTATCTGCAAAGCTCACAACTATAATGCCAGCTGTAGTGATAATTTTCCAAGAGAGTCAGCTGTTGGGTTGTGGAAAAGGCACCCAGTTCATCCCAGGTCTGACCATATGATGAGCCATGAGACCTTGGGGAGGTCTGCTGAGCCACCTCTTCAAGCCTCAGTTTAATCTTCTGTAAATTGAATAATTTGGATTCTATTTCGACCCCTCCAGCTCCAAATCGTACTGGTCTATGATTCCATGAACTAAAAGTTCAAAAGTGGCTGTGGCTCCCTCACAAAATGGAAAAGATTTGGGGCCTAGAATCTAGGATTTTATTAGCGGGACCCAGACCTGGTCTAGAACTGTTTCACTTGGTGGTTTTCATCACCTCCTTGAACTGCCAACCCCCTTAACTCAGCCCTTTCCATCTGAATTCACTTTGATTCCACAAATATTGATTAAAGACCTACTATGTTTCCAACAGCATGACTACAAGATGAGTGAGACTAGCTTCCCACCCTCAGGGACTTGACAATGAAATAGTGAGGCCAAGACTTCACCGAACTTCTTTTCTCCAGTACCAGTACCGGTTACCGTTGAGTTGATTCTGATTCATGGTGCCCCCGCGTGTTTCAGAGTAGAACTGTGCTCCATAGGGTTTTCATGGCTGTGGCCTTTCGGAAGCAGATCACCAGGCCTTCCTTCCAAGGTGCCTCTGAGTGGGTGGATTCAAACCAACAACCTTTCAATTAACAGCCAAGTGCTTAACCATGTGTGCTACCCAGGGACTCTTTTCTCTAAGAGATAGCTCCATTTCTGGAACTACTGGTTATCGACTGTGGTTTCTGAGCTAGCAACATCAGCTTCTCTGGGGAACTTGTTAGAAATGCAAGTTTTCAAGTCTCCACCCCAGAGCTACTGGGTCCGGAGGTGTGGCCCACGTGGCCCACTGATCTTTATTTTTAAAAGTTCTCCAGGGAATTTGGGTGCATGCTCAAGTGTGGGAACCACTGAACTAGCCCTTCTAGGTTAGGCAGCCAGATTGTAGTTCAGAGTCCTCAAGGGACCTGAGGAGACAACTTGGAGAAACCTCGGTCACTTAGGCTGCCAGGACTTAGTGTTTTTAACTCACAGTCACAGCTCACTTGGAACCTCCCACAACATTTTGGACCTTTGTGGTATTTTTGTAAACTGCCGTGAGTTGTGGAAATGACACAGTTGTTTTGACAGCAACTCATCCAGTTTAGCACACGCTTCCTCACAGAACTCCCATGCTTCCCTTATACTGCCTTTTAATCATAGGAGGACTGTGTTGCTCGGAGGGATGTCCACACCATCACTAAGACCCACAGTCAAATATCCCAGTCCAAGGAGGCCCCGTCTGCTCCCAAAGATTTCCAAAGAAAGAGACAGTTCTTAGGAAGCCTATCTACTCTCTACCTCCCTCCTTTCTAAGGAAAAACCCAAACCAAACTAAACCCAGTCACAACTCATGGTGACTTCATATGTGTCAGAGTAGAAATGTGCTACATAGGTTTTTCACGGGATGATTTTTCAGAAGTAGATCGCCAGACCATTCTTCTGAAGCACCTCTGGGTGGACTTGAACCTCCAACCTTTTGGTTAGCAGCCAAGCGTGTTAACCGTTTGCACCACCCAGGGACTTCTCCCTTCTAAGGAAACTTTAATTGATTTCCTCCACCATGACAGGATCTAAGGCTGATGCTTGTTCTCCTCAGCAGGTGGAGATCCTTAGGCTTTGTTCTCCCTGCAGTAAATTCAGACATAAAGGGTGGGGTGGGTGGGCTGCTTGAGAGGGGCCAGCCTGGGTCCTGGGACTGCCTGGTGCTTACCCTGATTCCTTGGGCCTGTTCCTGCCCAGGGCCATATGATAGACCATATTCTCCTTTGTGAAAATTAGAAAAAGGCACCACCTCCAGGTGCCTCTCAGGATAGATGCAGCCCCTAGGCCTCAGGGCATGCTGGATTTCAACCCACTGCCTCCTCTGGCAGTTAACTAGCTTAACTGCTAATCAAAAGGTTGAAGGTTCAAGTCCACCCAAAAGTGCCTCAGAAGAAAAGCCTGGCAATCTACTGAAAAATTAACCATTGAAAACCCTGTGGAGAGCAGTTCTACTCTGACACACATGGGGTCCCCATGAGTCAGAGTCAGCTCTTCAGCAACTGGTAACTGGCCTCCTGGGGCAGGTGCCTGTGTACAGCACACACTGCACAGGCACAAGCCAAGGTCCTTTCTCCTTCAGGTACAGGAAGGAGAGAGGTGGGAGTAAGGACAGGCGGAGGAGAGCTTGGATGTGCAGCTACCACAGGTCCCGTTGTTCCCACATGCTGGGCCCAGGGCTGTGCTCCTTACCTGGCTTATTTCCCTAAATTCTCACGACTACTCAGTGAGGTGGGTATTAGTGCTGCCTCCATATTTGTTTGTTTGTTTTTATTTTCTAAATTACGAAATATTTTCCAACTGTACCTCCATTTTCCCATCTTTATAGTGGGTATGATAATCCTAGCTCTTTTCTCAAGCACTTGTTCTGAAAATCAAATGAGACCATAGTGATAAAAGTGCTCGGGAAAAGAGATTTTTAAACACCTTACAAATGTCAGTTTTATATTGATCTCATTGCTGGGTCCCCGAAGGCAGGTTTTGGGGCCTCTGTTTTGGGAAATTCACCTTAAATTCACCCAGCCCCCAGTGTTATGTGTGAGAGGGACAAAAGGTTGCTGTCCTGCCAGGATACTGACATTTGGGAGTGCATCCTCCCCTAAAAGCATTAGAACTGCAGGCTGCAGTGGATGAAGTGTGCGTGTGTGCACGGCACTCAGGGACGAGTCACAGTCCTGGCAAGCCAGCCTGGATAGGGTGACCTCATGGGCCTTTCCCACTTCTCATTTTTATGACTGGGCTTACTGTTTAATTTTTGGCTTTCTCTGGCTTTCTTGCAGCTGTGGTGATTGGGATTTAGGGCAAGTATTTGCGATCCGTTTTCTAATCCACGTCAAATCCTGATTTAGCTACAAAGTCTGGGACGGGGCTGCAGAGGAGGGAGTCAACCTGGCTGGGAGGCAGTAGCTCAGAATATCAGAAATTCAAACAGGAATCCCAACGTCCATCCACTGAGGCAGAAGGCCTCTCATCTCTTCTAATATTATCTTTTTCCCAGAATGCATAAGGCATAAGCTTCCTTTTAGACTCAGGTCTCTTACAGCCTTCTCACCTAGCTGCTTAAGGATTAAGTACAGTTGCTGTGGTGGTGAGGGAGAGACTTAGATTTACCTTTTTCCTGTGTCTCTTGTTGAAATGTTTCTTGGGTGGGTCCTGTCTCCATTTGCTCAAGTGCCTCCCTGGTTGAGATCTGAGTCTGCATCTCAACCAAATCAGTGCAACCCCTGAACAATGGTATGGATGATCCACCTTGCAAACCACTGTCAGACTCCACTGACTTTTTATTATATACCTTTCCTATGGGAGAGGTCAGTGGCATGAAATGATGCTAAGGTGGTCCCCCATCACCTGTGACATCATGTATAAATTTCTGTGTCTGAATTTAAAGGCCTTTTATAACTCGCTTCTGGCTATCCCTCCAACTTAACATCTGCCTGCAACTCCTAGCAATTCCCTCTAAGGTCTCGTTATTTACTCTATTATCCACCATATTCATTCCATCTTGGGATTTTTCTCACAGTTCCCTTTTATTGTGTTCCTTTTCTCCAATCCAAACACCATCCATCAGTCAAGGCCAGTTCATGTCCCATTTCCTTGATCTCACTCCACTAATGTCCCTCTTTTCTGAATATCTATTGTCAGAACCACACAGTTTCATATTAGTTACCCTATTTTATGCAAATAACACTCACGTTTTATATTTTTTGGCCAACCGCACAACTCCCCCCCACCACATACTATTTTCATAGGTGCGCTATACCACACATTGTACGTGTGGGTGCATTGTTTACACGGGTTCATTATTTGCAAAAATACGATATTCTTTCACTGTTTCATTAGTTAAGCCTCCCCAGGTAGATTGTAAGCCCCTTGATGTTGGGCCCTGTCCTAAGCTTCCTTTTTGTTCCCTACAGTATCCAGTCAATCTTACGTGCCAAGCAGTAAATAATAAAATAATTTTTACGTCAATCAGGTGTTTGCTCACCTAAAAACTGATAACTTTCAAGGAACTATTCATTTATCTTACAGTAAGAAATACTGTTTATACCTGATACTCATGATCACCATTATACAGATATATGCCCTGAGCAGGAAAGAGAAACCAATGCAGACTGGAGGTTTGAAAGGTGACTACCAGCCCTAGGATTTCCAACAACAGTCAATCTAGATTTGGTCCTTCTTGTTGTTAGCTGCTGTTCAGTCAGCCCCAACTCATGGTGACCCCATGCACAATGGAACGAAATGCTGTCTAATCCTGCACTATCCCATGATCAGTTGCAGATCAGTCATTGTAATCCATAGGCTTTTCATTGACTGATTTTTAGAAGTAGATCACCAGGCCTTTCTTCCTAGTCAATCTTAGTCTGGAAGCGCCACTGAAACCTGTTAGGCATCATAGCAACACGCAAGCCAACACAGTACACAAACCAACAGACAAGTAGTGGCTGTGCATGAGGTGCATTGTCTGGGAATCGAACCTGGGTCTCCCACATGAGAGGTGAAAATTGTCCTCAATACTCTTTTAATGTCTTTAACTCTCGTCTTTCCCCAGAGAGCTCCTGTGAGAACAAGCAGGCAGACCTGGTCTTCATCATTGACAGCTCCCGCAGTGTCAACACCTATGACTATGCAAAAGTCAAGGAGTTCATTGTGGGCATCTTGCAATTCTTGGACATTGGGCCTGATGTCACCCGGGTGGGCCTGCTCCAATATGGAAGCACTGTCAAGAATGAGTTCTCCCTGAAGACCTTCAAGAGGAAGTCTGAGGTGGAACGTGCTGTCAAAAGGATGAGGCATCTGTCCACAGGCACCATGACAGGGCTGGCCATCCAGTATGCCCTGAACATCGCATTCTCAGAAGCAGAGGGGGCCCGGCCCCTGAGGGAGAATGTGCCTCGGGTCATGATGATTGTGACAGATGGGAGGCCGCAGGACTCAGTGGCTGAGGTGGCTGCAAAAGCACGAGACACAGGCATCCTGATCTTTGCCATTGGCGTGGGCCAGGTGGACTTCAACACGCTGAAGGCCATCGGGAGCGAGCCCCACAAAGACCATGTCTTTCTGGTGGCCAACTTCAGCCAGATCGAGTCCCTGACCTCAGAGTTCCAGAACAAGTTGTGCAGTAAGTCCTGGTCCTCTGTGTCTCTTCTAGGGGAATCTTTAGGATTCATTCATTCGTTTTCAAGTATCTGTTCTGTGCTACAGTGTCTCAGGAACTGTACTGGCAAAGACCAAGATAGACACAGAGTTCTCTTGGGGCTTACACTCTGGTCAAGGAGACAGATATTAAACATATAATTGCACAAATAAATAAGTGACTGCTGTTGTGATCAGTGTAATGAGAGAAGCATGCAGGGCATGATGGAGCCTGTGACCCAAGGACCTAATTTAGGCAAGGGCGCTCAGGGAAATTTCTCTGAGGAAGGGACACTTAAACCCAAGCAACAGGATGAGTAAGAGTAGAGATGTTTTTCTCCAGCTCATTGAGCTACCCTGGCATTCCCTAAGTTGGAATTCTATGTGTTGGCATGGGGAGGGGTGCATATGAGAGCACAAAAATAATATAATTTCTCCTTGGGTGGTGTGGGATAGCAAGAAGCAGAGGCATTTTTGCTCCATGATGGTGCTGGTAGTAGACGTTCCCTTAACTAACAAAGAGGCTCAATGATTGGAGAGGACCAATATGTGGTCCTGGTGCCTTTCGACCTGCTAACCTGTTAAGTTGCAGATTCCACCCCCTTCCACTCCTTTTGCAGGAAGATGCCTCCCCAAGTCCTGGAGCCTCATTCTTCTCTTTTAAGGGGTTTCTTCCCTCTCCTGCCTCTCTCTGCCTTTCTTTCCAGACTGCTCTGAGTTATCTCCAGCCCTAGCTCCTGTCTCAGCTTTTCTCAGCAGGTCAACTTGCTTTCACCTCACTTCCTACCTCTACAACTGCTTTCTTGCCCCTTCTTCTCCTGTAAGAAAATATTTTCAAACTCTCAGTGCCTCCATTTTCTCATCTATCTAATGGGTACAATAATCCTAGCAGGAGTCCAGGGTGACCAACCCAGGCTCCACTCTGTTGTTGTCAACCCCCAACTCCTAGTGACCCCATGCACAATGAAACAAAATGCTGCCTAGTCCTGCGCCATTCTCATGATCTGTCGGGGATTGGATTGTTGTAGATTGAGTTTTCATTGGCTGGTTTTTGGAAGTAGATCACTAGGTTTTTTAGTTCATCATATTCTGGAAGCTCTGCTGAAACCTGTTCAGCATCATAGCAACACTCAAGCTTCCAGCGACAGATGGATGGTGGCTGCACATAAGGTACACTGGCTGGGAATTGAACCCATGTCTCCAGCATGGAAAGCGCAAATTCTACCACTGAACCACCAATGCCTCAGGTTCCACTCTATTCTCTGGAAACTAGAAACATGCATCCCGACCTTGTAAACAGTGTTCAATCCTGCTTTACCTAACCCCCAGAGGTCCCTGTCCCCTCCAGCTGCCATGCTTTGACAGGAGAAACAAAAGGAAATGTATCTATTTTAAAATGACTCTTGTTTTCCTGCAGTAGAGAATGAGCTTATGAACGGGACTCCTCACCAGTTCCCCAGGAGCAGGAACTTGCCTCTCTGACGGCTCTGAGGACCCATCCTCAGAATGCCACTGTCGTGGATTGAATTATGTCCCCCAAAAAATGTGTGTATCAGTTTGGCTGGGCCATGATTCCCGGTATTGTATGATTTTCTTGTATGTTGTAAATCCTGCCTCTATGATGTTAATGAGGGCGGATGAGCGGCAGTTGCGTTAGTAAGGCAGCACTCAGTCTATAAGACTGGATTGTGTTCTGAGGCAATCTCTTGAGATATAAAAGAGAGAAGTGAGCAGAGAGACATACCATCAAGAAAGTGCCGGGAGCAAAGCCCGTCCTTTGGATCCTGTACAGAGAAGCTCCTAGTCCGGGGGAAGATTGGTGAGAAGGCTGACAGAGAGAGGAAGTCTTCCCCTGGAGCTGATGCCCTGAATTTGGACTTTCAGCCTACTTTGCTGTGAGGAAATAAGCTTCTCTTTGCTGAAGCCATCCACTTGTGGTATTTCTGTTATAGCAGCACTAGATGACTAAGACAGCCACCAACTCTAGACTCCCAGACATAAGCCTCAGGGAGGAAGAACAGTATGCTTTTGATATGTCTTAGAAAAATCCTCTTTTGAGAACTGAGGGCGACCTCAAAAAGCAGAGAGCCCGTTCTTTCTTAACTCCAAAATAGAAAGATTTACTTAAAAAATCAGTGCAATGAAGGAAAAATAACCTTTTCTCTGCAATGTTGCTTGGAAAATCTTAGAAGTGCCATTTTCTCTGGAGCTGCAGAAGAGCTGTTATTATAGTGCACTGTGGCTAAATCGACTGGAAAACTTCAATCAACAGGACACACTGAAAACATTTTTAAGGTTTATGACTTTAAACGACTTCTGCAGAATTATAGTCCCCCTTTCTTGGAATATTAAAAAAAAGATGGGTTCAGTAACAGTTTTGACATTTTATTTGTTTGTACTGGAAAATGTTAATCGAGGAGGTATTTTATAAGCACTCTGGAATTGTCAGCAAATGGAAGGATAATATGATAAGGCTACAGAGTCCCTAGGTGGTGCAATGGTTAATGCCAATAGCTGCTAACAGAAAAGTTAGTGACTGAAGTCCTGGCAATCTACTTCTGAAAAATCAGTCATTTAAAACCTTATGGAGCACAATTCTACTCTGACACACATGAGGTCACCATGTTTTGGAATCCACTAGATGGCAATTGGTGGTGGTGGTGCTGAGCTACAGAACAGGACTAACCCACCTGTGTTGTTAAATTTGGACTTGTCCATGGAAGAATCGTCTCAGTGTACTTTATGCCAAGGCAGCGAAATTAAAATATGATTTACTTTTTTTTTTCCTCCATGATTTTTGGTGTAATTTGGAAGCCCTAAGAAAACACAGGTATTATCCTGTTCATTTGTGTGGCCTGAGAAATGATCCCCTGTGGATGCCCCCCGACTTGTCCTGCAGAAGACGCAGCTGCTCTCTCCCAGCATCGCCAGCCTCTGCTAAGTAGACTCATCAACTCTCTTGAAAGGTTGAGGAGGCCCCAGGGCCTCTTTATCAGCTGTGCAGTAAAGACTGCAATAACTACATTTATAAAGCACTTTCTCTTACGCTATCACATGATCCTCGCTGAGACCTGGGGAGACAGGCAGCACAATCCTATCATTCCCTTTTTATAGATTAGTCACCTTATTAGGTGTACTACCCAAGAGCAAACAGCCAGGAGATGATGGAGTTCCTATTCCAAATCTGTTGCTCATTTCACTCCTCCCCACGTCAGGAGTTATAAATTTCTCCTTTAAGGCAAACCAGTTTCTGATGAGGACCCCTTAGGTAAATCTGCTTATGGTTGGCAGGTATTCACCTGAAATAGGTAAAACTCTGAAAGAAGCTTTTATAGAGTGAGGAGGAGCAGACTCAATTATATTCCCTTCCCCTGCCAATTGTACAACGCTGAGCAAATCCTTTGTGTTCCCTGAGCCTCAGTTGCCTCATCTGTAAAATGGGCATTCTACATGCACAGAGTAAAGTATTATAATGACATGTGCAAAGGCCTGGAGTTAGAAAACCAAAAGGAAAAAACACACTCGGCATTTCTCAAGCTGAACTGAAGAAAAAATTCAAGCCTCGAGTTGCAAGATTGAAGGAGTCTACGGGGAAAATATTAAATGACAGAGGAAGCATCAAAAGAAGATGGAAGAATACACAGAGTCACTATACGAAAAAGAATTGGTCGCTGTTCCACCATTTCAGGAGATAGCATATGATCAGGAACTTATGGTACTGAAGGAAGAAGTCCAAGCTGCACTGAAGGCATTGGCGAAAAGCAAGGCTCCAGGAACTGACGGAATACCACCTGAGATGTTTCAACAAATGGATGCAGTGCTGGAAAAATTTTCAAGAAATTTGGAAGACAGCTACCTGGCCAACCAACTGGAAGAGATCCATACATATGCCTATTCCAAAGAAAGGTGATCCAACCGAATGCAGAAATTATCGAACAATATCATTAATATCACACATAAGTAAAATTTTGCTGAAGATCATTCAAAAGCTGCTGCAGCAGTACATCAACAGGGAACTGCCAGAAATTCAAGCTGGATTCAGAAGAGGACATGGAACCAGGGATATCATTGCTGATGTCAGATGGATCCTGGCTGAAAGCAAAGAATTCCAGAAAGATGTTCACCTGTGTTTTATTGACTATGCAAAGGCATTCGACTGTGTGGATCAGAGCAAGTTATGGATAACATTGTGAAGAATGGGAATTGCAGAACACTTAATGGTGCTCATGAGGAACCTGCACATAGACCTGGAGGGAGTTGTTTGAACAGAACAAGGGGATACTGCTTGGTTTAAAGTCAAGAAAGGTGTGCATCAGGGTTATATCCTTTCACTATACTCATTCAATTTGTATGCTGAGCAAATAAGCCAAGAAGTTGGACTGTATGAAGAAGAACATGGCATCAAGATTGGAGGAAGACTTGTTAATGACCTGCATTATGCAGATGACACAACCTTGCTTGCTGAAAGCAAAGAGGACTTAAAGCACTTAAACTGATGAAGATCAGAGACCACAGCCTTCACTATGAATTATACCTCAACCTAAAGAAAAGAAAAATCCTCACAACTGGACCAGTAAGCAACATCATGATAAACAGAGAAAATATTGAAGTTGTCAAGGATCTCATTTTACTTGGATCCACAATCAACGGCCATGGAAGCAGCAGTTAAGAAATCAAGCAACGCGTTGCGCTGGGCAAGTCTGCTGCAAAAGACCTCTTCAAAGTGTTAAAAAGCAAAGATGTCACCTTGGAGACTAAGGTGCACCTGACCTAAGCCATGGTGTTTTCATTTGCCTCATATGCAGGCAGAAGCTGGACAATGAATAAGGAAGACCTGATGCCATTGAGTTATGGTGTTGGTGAAGAATATTGAATATACCATGGACTGCCAAAAGAACAAACAAATCTGTCTTGGAAGAAGTACAGCCAGAATGTTCCTTAGAAGCAAAGATGGTGAGACAACATCTCACATACTTTGGACATGTT